GCTGGTATGTGGACATCTCACCTCTAATTGGCAAACAGCAACACGACTCTACCACTGATGCTGTTTTCTCTGCAACGTTGATGTTTTATCTCCACAAATATCACAAGCCTGAAGGAGTTCTGCTGTGTGGTGAAGCTGCTAATGCTAATGTTAGCTTCTACTGACTGAGATGTTCTCTGCTGTTTCCTGGACACTAAACCAACAACAGCCTTCCCTATTGCAAGCTAAGATGGATGAGTCCATGAATGATAAGTGACAGTGGAACGTAGGTCTGTCAGGCTTTTAAATCAGAAGCTAATGCAGTAGGTAGGTGTTGAAGACTATTTTGTTCACCCTACGTTAGTAAGAATCACTTAAAAATAGTCAACAACTAATTGCCTTGTGGAGTCAACCTTGTTCATAATGGCTGCCATAATGACTGGACACTTTACTTTCATTAGAATGAATGTTGTGTTTTTTCTGTGGTTTTACTGAGAAAATGACTTGATCTTATTCGGAATGACAAATTGTCATATTTTCTGTTGTGACTGAGAAATAACTATGTTCACTGCAAAATGTTTTACTTTATTTAACTTTTTTTTATGTGATCGTCTCTACAATTTTCACATGCAGGGTTAACGTGAACATTGTTGGGGTAATGCTCAGACTAAAAAAGCCAGTCAGTTCTACATCACATTGTCAAATTTACATTAACAGATTCACCCATTCTGGCTCACGACGGCGAAGGCTGTTGTCTATTTGGCATTCATGAGAGACCAGAGTGCATCTCGGCTAGTAGAAGCTAACCATTGGAATTAGCAACATGACCACATGGAGGAGCCCTATCGGGCTTTTGTTATTTATGGAGATAAAACACCACCCAATATGCCATCTGTTTGTTTTCACTCGCTTATCTGAATCTAGGACGCTGGGGCAGCAGCTCCAGCAGGGAGGCATAAAACTCCACCAGCTCCACCAGCAGGATCCCCAGGTGTTGCCTGGCCAAAGTGAAGATATAATCCCTCCCACACGCCCTGGGTCAACCGAGAGACAACGTGGGGTTTAAAAGACTCTTTATGAATTTAAAAGCAGGGTACCAGAGTGCATGGAGCAGAGGGTTACCAGGGTTCCACCCTGGAGCCAGACCTGGGCTTGAGTCCCTTGTGGGAGCACCTGGTGGCCAGGCTTTACATGGCCTCATCCACCTGTGGAACATGAAGGGTCAATTGAATTGTGGAGTAGGTGGCAGACCAAGACAGAGAGGCCTTGGGAAAAAACAACTAGTTTCAACTATTTTTTTCCTGAAATATACATTTGACATCATCCCAACTTATTCTAAAACAGCCTTATCATTTCTGGTTTTGGGTCTGACACCAAAAACTCACATACTTCATCTTTCACAGCGCTATCTGGCATCATTTAGATGAAATAGTGACATAAGAGGTGACAGCATGGCTACGAAGATTGGTGTCGAAACATGAACTTGAAATGGTTATCCGTACCTTTATCTCATCCCATCTAGATTACTGTAACACACTCTTCACATCTTTTAACAAATAAGCACTTGACCGCCTTCAGTTGGTCCAGAACTCTGCAGCGAAGCTCCTAACTGCAGGAGCAAACAGAAGAGCACACATCACTCCTATTCTAATGTCTCTGCACTGGTTACCCGTTAACTTTAGAGGTCATTTTAGAATCCTGACTATAAGTTTTAATGCTCTACATGGTCAAGCTCCTCCCTATATTACTGAACTGTTGAAGCTTATGCTTCAACCTGAGCCCTCAGGTCCACACACCAGAACCTTCTAGAAGTTCCAAAAGTTAGATATAAAAGTCAAGGCGATCGCTTCTCCCAGGCTGTTGCACCTCAACTTTGGAATGAACGTATTTTATTCCTGACGTAGTATTGACAGTTTGGACATTTTTAAAAACAGTAAAAGACCATTGTTAATTAAAGGTGCTTTCATGTCAATCTTTTGTTTTCTTGTTTTTAAATCAAATTTGTAATCATTTTTCATTTGTTTTATGATATTTTATCATTTATAACTTTATTTGTTTGATTTCAATTTAATTCTGATTGAAGATCATTATGACTTTATCATTTGCTTTGTTTTTGATCCTTGTGAAGCACTTTGTGATTCTTTGTGATAAAACGTACATACTTACTTCAATGAGTACAACTGTGTCACATTAGCGACATTTAAGATATTGTAATGGCACTTATGATCATTATGGCAGGGACCTGACAAACCAGGAGCCGTGTGAAACAAGAACTGGTAGTTTAATGGTGACTCTTTCCTCATAAAGACTTCTAAGGTGGTATTATTTTATAGATTATCATGAACCGTTATGATTTACTTGATTATCATTCAAACATTTATTGAATGCACACACATTTATTTTGTAAGAGTTTTTAATGCACATTATTATCATTTTTTTGTTGAGGGGAAATGAAACATCAAGAGGTCTTGCAGAATAAGCTTTTTGGTTTCTTTTAGATTTCAAACACACACACACACACACACACACACACGCACGCACACACACACACACACACACACACACACACACACACACACACACACACACACACACACACACACACACACACACAAGGATAAGAGCAGCAGCACAGCACAAATCCCGAATGTATCAGATTATGCCGCACGGTACATTCAGTTACATGTGAAGACAGATGGTTGTACACAAAATCAAAAACTAATAATCTCGAGATTGGGTCCTTCAGTTAGATATTAACTCTGATACTCAAAAGGCCTGACACACTACGAGGCATATTAGGACAAGTCTGTGAGGCCAGTAAGCCGACTGACGGTGGGTGGGGGGGGGGGTGGGGGGGGGGGGTCCAAAAAAGTGGGGTAATCCTGCCCACTAGCAATACATGTCTGCATACTGTAGTGAAGCTCAAGCTGGCTCACTTTCACAAACACACACTCAGCTTTTTACCCTCTTTGTCCAATCAACAAACTCAATTATTCTATTACGGTAATAAAGAGATGTTTATGAGATGTAATGTTGTTCTGTTGCTCATACAAATAAAGTGTGGATCTAATGAATGAAGCAGTAGATAGATAGATAGATAGATAATCTTTATTGACAGACTCTTAGGTCCAGATAAAATACATATAAAACAACAGATCAATGAAACAAAATAGATAAATAGAATAAAAATATAAGAGCATAAAATTGAATAAAAATCTAAATGTAATTAAAAGCTTTACTATAAACTGTTCCACACAAGGTTAACCACACAAACACTTCAACCAGTATTTCCTTATACTGGAGAAATAGCGACAACTGCTCACAGTAGGATCAGTGATTGCTAAAATTATACTGTTGGCAGAGCTATCCAGTCGGCCTATAAAAGTGAATATGAGTTTTCTTAAAAGAGCTTTAAAAGTACAAACGCCTGCTGTTACAAACATCTGACTGGCACTGCCCCCTCTGGGTATTTTAAGTATGATCCTTAAGGCATCGTTGTATGCAACTTGCAGCTTGTTCATGCTGCTTTGATTGTAGGATGACCACAGTTGGGCTGTGTAGAGCGGAGTACAATATGCTTTAAATAAAGCCACCTTAACTGGAGGTGAACAAAAACCAAACTTACGAGCTATAGTGTTAGCTTGTGCATACAGCTTACAGCACTGTCTGTGGATGTCAGCATCATCACGCATTTGATCAGTTATAAAATGGCCAAGGTATTTCACCTTCTCACACACATTAAGATCACTATTAGACAGTTTGAAAACAGGAAAGTTTAGCTTTTTATCCTGCTTGGTTCTACATATCTAGATAGCACTTTTAACAGCATTATACTGAATATCGTACTGCACACCATATTCAGAGCAGATATTTAGGAGCTGCTGTAAACCAGCACTACTTGGACTAAAGACCACCAGATCATCAGCATACATCAGATGGTTGATCAAAGTTGTACCCATCAAACATCCTGTGTTACAGGCTCTGAGCTGCACAGACAGATCGTCAACATACAGATTAAATAAGATAGGAGACAGAATTCCACCCTGCCTAACACCATTACTAACGCCAAATGGTGCAGAGTAATGATGGATCAGATTATTTCATGTATTCGCATTGCATTGTGATTATGTGCTGTACAGACTTACCAGTGATGGTAGGAGAGGAGGCTTTGCTTTCATATAAAGCATTATATACGATTATATTTTTTCCACATTTAAAGTAACACTAAACAGTTTCCTGCTTGTATGCCCTACTGTTTGAAAGTGGAATTACACCCGCCACAAACACCCTGCATCAGCCTGCTGTAGCTAGCACTAACAATGAGCTAACAGTAACGTGAGCAAAGTCTTACTAAATATTTTTACTTACATGTCCAGATGTAACAAAGTCAGATCACTATCAGCTAATGATGCTATTGCCTCCTTCAGCTTCCTCAAACTAGCGTACGTTGAACTAATGTTTACTCTGGTTTTATTTCTTTGCTTCACCTTCAAAGACATTTCTCTCTTACTTTTACTTCCAGGCTCTACCATGATGCCAACAGAAAAACAAACTTATTTTTTCTTCTTCCTATGTTTTTAGTGACATTCTGGTAACTGAAACAGCTAACTGCTAGCCTTTTTATTAGCTACCAGCATGGAAAATAGTGAACAATCGTTAAGCAGCTAAAAAGCTCCCCCTAGGACACCTCCCCACTCCAAAAAACAAGAACGGCTTCTGGTCAGCTGAGGAATGTCAAATATGAAACTGGTCAAGTGTCTAACTCAACAATCACTGAGATCAATGTTAAAAGTCTAGCTTAAAGTTTCAAATAAAAACGATGTAGTGCTACTTTAATTGCTGACACCACATGACCAGTTAGATTTTAATTTTTTTCAACAACAGTTTTTTTTCTTCTAAGGCAAGGCATGCATGAAAGTAGGTTTTATAAAATAAAAAATAAATTAAATAGCCTGATGGGTTTCTTATGACTTTTTGCACTTATTATTTTATAGCCCTCAGTGTATGCAAAACAGACTCACCATCCTTTAGCCAGATAACCTTGCTGCCATTCTGAGTGAGTGATGGCTCCGAGGTCCTTCAGGTTGGCTCTACATTACCATCCGACATCACTCCCCTTCCGGCTCTCTTCTTCGACTTCTGTAAAATAAATAAATAAATCTACCCTGGAGTGAACTTCTTTGTTGATCTCTTTTTAAAAGCAACAAATCCCCCCATTAGGTTTTTAATGGGAGTGTTAAGGGACAGGTGAATGAAGCAAGGGGTGGGAGGCGGAGGTGGCAATTTGCTAATGGAATGTGAAGAAAAGTGGTGGGATAAAAAAAACGATTAGAAAAATAAATTCATATAAAAGCACCTTTGGTCAGTCTGGATAACATAAGAGTGAGTTATGGGGCAGACACTAAAGTGGATTTAACAAACACCATCATTAACTGCTTTCTTGGTCTGAAGTACAAGGTGGAGAGTGAGGGATGCTTAGGGAGAGATGAGATAGTGGAAGAGGAGGAGTCTGCAATCTTCATTTAATTATTCGCTACACCCCCCCGAGCCACCCAGCCAAACACACACATGCATAACAGCAATCCCCTGAAATTGTGGAGTAGCTGTTCGACTGTTAATTATGTCAAACTTGAGTCTAATCACACAAACTTCATCCAAATGATGATAAAAAGAGGGAAAAAAAAGCTCCACCGACATCCTGTTGTCATGTAGCTCTGCCCAGATTACAAGCCAAAGACTTTGTGAGCAAGATGAAACTCCTGGATTTAGGCTTCTTAATTTAGTGGAACATGATTTATCTACCAACCAGCTAGAATAGAGGTAATTTCAACGGAGTTCGTTTGGTGGACACAAACAGACCCAATTTATCCTACCGATTTTAAGTACAGATGTAAAAAACATCCACCCAGAAATTCATCATTAAATTAGATACATTTAACAGGATATGAAGATGCAACATTTTCAAACTGGTGTAAAATTTTAAATATATATATATATATATATATATATATATATATATATATATATATATATATATATATATATATATATATATATATATATTTGCAAAGGTCTCTAGTATAGATGAAAGCCTTGTGAGTCGATCTCTGTGGTAAAAATAAATAGATAAATAAAAATAAAAAGCTCTGGCTAAATCCTGTTTCAGGAGGTAGAATTTAGCCAGATCAGAGGGGAGAAGAAAGCCACACGATCTGGTCATGGTCATGCTAGACCAGCTTAGTATGCTGGCTCTCCTATCAGAACATATGTTGGTAACACCTATGCTGGTCTGCGTGGTTATTTCAGCAGAGTTAGCATTTAGCCTGCATGTAAAACTGATCAGATATTTAAAAGTAACAAGAAACTGTTTCTCAGTGAACTTGCTATTTAAATACAACTTTTGAGATATCTTACAATTGTTTTTTATTCTTTTGAGAAAAATAATACTAGAAAGAAAGAAAGAAAGAAAGAAAGAAAGAAACAAAGAAACAAAGAAAGAAACAAAGAAAGAAACAAAGAAACAAAGAAAGAAAGAAAAGTATTGAGTATGTGTTCTGGACAGCTCTCAGTTACCACTGAAGAAATCTTAGCGTAACGTCTCTAAAATTAACTGAGTTAAATTTGTGTTTGTTTTCAACAGACCAATAGCTGTGGTGATCATCTTGACAACCAGCTTAGTGACCTAGTGGTAGAGTGTCCGCCCTATGGAGATCAGAACTCAAATCCCAGTCGGATCATACCAAAGACGTAATAAAAATGGGACACAATGCCTCCCAGCTGGATTCTCAGCATGAAGAAGTTGGATTGGGGGTTAAACTACCAAATAGTTCCCGAGCACGATCGTGTCTGCAGCTCACCACTCCCTATAGGATGTGTCAAATACAGAGAACAATTTTCACCACACCACACCAGTGTGTGTGACAACTATGGGACTTTAATCTTTAATCTTATTTAATCTTGACAAAGTTGGATAAATAACAAATGTGCATCAAATGAGTTACATTAAAATCCATCCAGTAGATCATGAGATATTTGTCTTCGGAAATAGACACATAAATGTAGACACAATATCACCCACCTCTCACCTTTCAGCTCTAGATGATGAAAATTGGAAAATATGTAACTCAAGCTGCTAAGGCTGGATAGCATGTGCCCCAGATAAGCCAAGTACTGCTGAGGGACTGAAACATGCTCTTCGTTGACAAGAACTACCAGTGCACCAGACTCCTCTGCAGTATGTGACATTTGACTTACTGGGAAACGATCAAGTGTAACAATGCAAAGCAACGAGAGTACCACACGAGTAAACATGGGCATATGGCTTCCTTTAGACATAGACTTCTGACAAGCATTGTGAAATGTCAGACTGAAGCCATTCATGGAATTGTTCTCCAAAAACAAAAAGATTCTTCTGAGATTATAGCTGAGGAGTGGCGCTGAGCCTTTCAAAGACACAGAAGCTCTGAAAGAATCTCAAACAAACACCAACATAGCGCGGATTCCCAACCAGCCCTAAAATAGTTTTCGTATCTGAACTTGTCATCTCAGTTTCTCCTTTCCCGATTTGGGCTTTTTCGTGAAGATAAGGGACGTGTTTTTATTTAGTTTCTCAAATGTTTCATTTACCTTGTTTACTCTGGTGATTGGATTGCACCCCAATCTGTGTCAATGGTTTATTTGAGAAGTAGTTTGTGTTTACCAGTTAGAGGTACATTTACTACATGTGTTGTCACAGCGTGGGTTATATAAATCTGCTAATAAGAGAGCCTTGAAAGAACACTTCACCGTGTTCCTTTAGAAAAGTCATTCCTCTATATCTGTTTGTTTCTCTATCATAACTGATTCAAAGCATTTCAATGTCACATCTAAGAAAAAGCTCTTTTGGTTTGCGTTTTGTAAGATGAACTTTTTTTTTTTGACAGAGGCAGAAAAGGAAAGTCGCCTGGCAGAATTGTAGTTAAGTGAAATGGTCTCCAGTGCACTTTTACAAACTCGTATGAAAAAAAATAATAATAGTTTAGCTCGACTTTAAGATTCTAACACTCTTTTGGCACATCGACTTTACATAAAAACAAACTGTAGATTGTGATTTTCGATCATTAGTGAAAAGTAGAGGTGTGAATCTTCACTTGTCTCCCGATTCGATTCGATTACGATTATTGGGTCAACGATTCAATTTGATTCGATATCCCGATGCATCATGATTATTTCATATTGATTTTGTTTTCATCGATGAATAGAAGATGTTAGATAATTTCTTTTCTATTTTATTTTTATTTTTTTAATCAAAAACGTAATTGACACAACCTGCCATCCCTCAAAAGCTCTCCATTTACAACAGGTTAGGACAAAAATCTTCTTAAATGTTTAATATGTTAACAAAGTAAAACAATCCGTTTCCTCGTTCAACACCACGCCTCAGGCTGAGAAAAACACGCTTTGCAAAAACTCACAAAATCTGAAAAAATACTGAAAACCTACAGGACACATAATGTAATAATACAATACATAACTGGTTCATATATGAGTGTTTAATGTCTCTGAGCAGCTTTAGAGTCAGATATTTGTGCCGCAGTTGAAGGGTGACAGAAATAACACCAAATGAAATGTTTGACTTAGTTTGTTATTTTATTTGAACCCAGTGGTTCATTTCTGAAATGTTGGAGAATGAATCAAGTTCTGTTTGATGCAGAAAATAATAAAACATAAAACAAATTCTACTCTTCCAATAATATTTAAGATGTGTGTTTTATTCTTCCTGATAATAACACCAGCAGAAGGCTGTGGGCTGGATTAGGATTAAATTACCCAGCTGATGGATCTCCTTCACTAACCAGCTAACTACAAACATTTCCACTAGCCTGTCCTGTGTAACCCTCACCATGTAACCCTCATGTCCATGCTGTCTCTGGAGGAGCAGATAGGAGACAAGATCTCCTGTAACCTAAAGATTTAACACAGTAAAACAATATGTTGCCTCGTTCAACAGCCACACCTCAGGCTGAGAAAAGCATGCTTTGCAAAAACTCACAGATTTCACTTGTAAGTCGCTTTGGACAAAAGTGTCTGCTAAATACATAAACATAAACATAAAATGAACCAAAGCTTCTTCCCAGTTTTTTAAATTGAATTTAACATCAGTTTATCATCATGAAACAAAAGAATAAAATGGACCAAAAACTTCCATCTTCTATTCCTCTCTCCTTTTAACTTCTCCGTGTCTCTAAATAAAAGAGACAGACGATCACGCTGCAGCCGTCGTCATTGACCCCGCCCCCTCCCCAAGACCGGACCTCCCAGCATCACAACACTCGGTCTGACTGAGCGCTTCGAGGAGAAATAATAATTAAATTATGAAAATAATGATGCGTGTTTGGAGCATCGGTTTGGAGGAGCGTGCTCCGATCCTCCCTCTCTCTCTCTCTCTCTCTCTCTCTCTCTCTCTCTCTCTCTCTCTCTCTCTCTCTCTCTCTCTCTCTCTCTCTCTCTCTCTCTCTCTCTCTCTCTCTCTCTCTCTCTCTCTCTCTCTCTCTCTCTCTCTCTCTCTCTCTCTCTCTCTCTCTCTCTCTCTCTCTCACAGTTGCTGTGCGAGCGAGCGGAGCACGTCGCATGACAACCCACTCAGTTAATATAATTCACGGCCCAAATCAAACAGAACAGGTCGGGCTGATTCGGTTCCGGTTCAGTCTCAGGTAAAAACTCTAGTGCTCTGCCCTGCAGTACCACTTGAAGGCGGAACCACTTGGCAAATGTGGAGGACGCTCACTCTGACAGATTTGGATGCTGCGCTGGTGCCGTCGTTAAAAAAAACAAAACTACATTCCACTATAATCGATTATGGCGTACTCTTCTACGATGCAGAATCGTTTAAGTCCGCACCCCGATGCATCGATTATTTGATTATTTTTCTCAGCTCTAGTGAAAAGCCAGTATTAAATCAGGTGGTGTAAACAAAACGAACCCTTAGAAATTTCCATCACTGAATGAAATCCTGCCTTACATTCACGGAATTAACAATGCAGACCCCCTGAGAGCACACGACATGGTCTTCTATGAAGTATCTCTTCAAATTCAATGCAGCTTTTCCACCTCCTGGTATGTTCTGCTGCATACTGAAGCTCTGAGGGTGCTTTACACTG